ATCCTAACCACAGCATCTAACCTTAAATGGGATTGAACTAGGGCAAAGCAGAGTAGGCAAGGTGATAGGCCCAAAATGCTGAATTTTATGTGACTGGACCTTCCTGTAAGCCGAGACCCTCTATAAAATATGTGTGTATTTAGCAATAAAGTGAACAGCCATCGACTGCTCCCAGAGGGGGTTTCTCCACCCGCCCATCATCCTTCACCCCATGTCTGCTCAGACCCAGTGCACAACGTTTCTGGGCACATTGGGGAAAAACTGTTCCCCAAAAGCCCTGGTCGTCCTGGTTAAAGAAACTTTGGTACATCTACACAATGGAGTACTATGTAGCTGTTAGAAAAGATGAAGTCATGAAATTTACATACAAGTGGTACTACATGAAAAGTATCATGCTAAGTGAAATGAGTCAGAAAGAGAGGGATAGAAATAAAAAGATTGCATTCATCTGGGGGACATAAAGTAACAAAATGGGAGATTAATACCCAAGAATAGCCGAGATCAGTACCAGGAGGATTGCTCCATGGCTTAGAGGCCAGCTGGGCAATCTAGGGGAAAGGGCAGCACAGATAGAGAAGGGAGTACCAAATAAAGGGTGTTTGGAGGATCCTCCCAGGATGGGAGATGCATGTTGAAAGTAGACTATAGACCCAACATGATTGTCACTCAATGCCTCTTCTTCAGACCACAACACCCAAAAGGAGAGAGAACAAAAGAGAATGCCCTGCCACAGAGGCAGACAGGGTGGGATGGGGGATGGGGGTTGAAGGGATACTGGGATCCATGGTGGTGGAAAATGGGCACTGGGGGAGGGATGGGTATTTGATCATTGTATAATCGAAACCCAAGCACAAAAATTTGTAAGTCTACAACTGTACCTCATGGTGTTTCACTAATAAATATATATATGTATATATATGCTTATATAAAAGCCCTGGTCATCACTCCCACCCACACCCCCAAATGTGTTCTGGACCATTTTAATTCTCTTTACGTCTTCTCGCAGAAAGCTCTTGCGGGGCTGAGAAGACAGCTCTCCTTCATCCCCTAGGTTCTATGCCCATGATCCAGTCCTTTTTCTTCTTTGGTTCTGTCTTTCACCAGGCTTGTTCTGCAAACCTGGAAATAAAAATCTCAAGAGCTCCCCTTGCTCACTTTAGACCCCTGGATTTTTGCCTTTATTTGCTTTAGCCTCTCTCCTTCCCTTAGCAGATTCTCACAAATGCTCCTCACCACTGCCTCATCCTTCAGCCCGATGTTCCTGCTGCTTGGCAGCTGGCTCCATTTTCTCAGTGATTCTATGGCATGTCCTAGTCATCCATGACTCACCCAGGGGCCAGGGGGGATGGGGAATGTGTGTGTGTGTGTGTGTGTGTGTATGTGTTTATTGTAAGCACTTGCATCCCTTATTACCAATTTGGGAGAACAAGTGACTGTTTCTCTAGTTAAACTGTCAGGAGAGGGGTGTGGTGACAAATCCTGCAGCCCAAGATGGAACATTAGTTCTAGCTTCTATGAGATGAGTGGGAGCGAAGGATGCCAAAGGCAAAAGTGACCAAGCTCTCTCATCAGAGTGGAGGACAGAAAAATTGAATCATGTCATCTCCTCCTCTTCCTGAAGTGTCTAGAATGTTCTCTCACACTGCTGCTGCCAGTAGGTTCATCTAGTGGCATTACTTCAAGACCTTGCCTTGGGTGGGCTTGGGGAGTCCTGACAGGCCTGGATAGGTGTGGGAGCAGCTGGGGTTGGTCTGTCCACAGCTATTTCAAGAGCTGTTGTCCCAGGAAGTAGCCACAGAGAGTCTTGCACATTGTGAGTAAGACTGAGTCCTGCCAGCAAGCTAATTAAATGAGTTTTTTAAAAGCTTCAAGCTTGCCAGCCACAGTGGGTGGTTAATTTCCTGACTCACCTATTCAACTCATTTGTGGTCCCAGCAAATGGTCCCTCTTGTAGGACACACTGCCCGGCTTTATTCGGAGGCTGTTCCATTTCTTCACAGGGTAGATGAGAATGTGCAGAGTAATAGCGTTCTCTTTTGTGTGGGAGATCATTTATGAAGTAGAGTTTAGTTCTTTGTACAAAAGGACAGTCTGAACCGCCTGGGGGTGGGGGCTGGAAACCTGGCCATTCACTGGACAACTTCCCCTGCCAAATATGCCCCCGGGGAAGAAGCAGAATTTCACCCCTTGGAGCCCCTCCCACCTCGCCTGTGGAAATACAGTGGGATAAGCCTCGTGTCTGGAGCCCCCATTTATGTCCCCAGAAGTCGCTCCAAGTGCAGTGGAGTTGCAAGCCGTCTTCAGAGCTGTGAAAATATAAATAAACAACCACAGAGATGAAGGCTGGTGGCAGAGCTGCCACGATAGAATTTTCTGGTTTAAGGAATGACTGTACTTTCATGTCATCTGATTCTTGCCAAAGGAAACTGCCATCATGCTAAATCCCAAATTGCAGACTCTTTGTTGGGCTTAGATAGGGGTCTGGCTCTATACAAGGAAGAGAAAGGGATTCCTTGGTAGAGGTTATTGCCTCCCCCCACCACCATCAACACCCGTGGGGGGGTCCGGGTGGCAGCCAGAGTGAATGGCTGAGCTCTCCCAGAGCTGCTCCCTGCCATCCTGCTATTGTGATTAGGGATCCATTCAGCTCGAAGAATGGAACTGATTCTATGCCTGGTAAAATGAGATCTGGCCAATTGTCATGCTAATTCGGGACATTTTACTTCAGTAGTTTCTTCTATCCCCAAGCTAGTGGTTGTATTAAACATCCCTTCTTCTGGGACAATTTTTCACAAATGGAAATCTATTTACAGAATGTCGTGATAGACTTTAGGTTTTCAGTAGGCTCCACCATGCTTGTGGGCAGATGTGGCAAGTGCAACACACGGATATGCCGTGAATCCACCTACCCCCAGCCTTCAGCTGTAAGTGTCCGTTAGGGATCTCTAATGAAGTCTCAGCTTATACATGTCACCCAGGCCCTCTCATCTCGGCTTTATGGTTCATCTAAATGCCTATAATCTCCCAATTCTTTCTCCTGACTTAACTCAGTAGAGTCCCAGCCTTCTATTTCTTACTGAAATTTCCACTTCACATTCCAACTGGATATTTGTGACGTGTCCACAGCCAGCTCTCCTAGATTTCCTGATCTACAAATATTCCTGTCGACTAACTGCCCTGCAGCGCAGTCTGGAGTCCCATGTTGCTTTCTCTAGCTCCAGCTCACGTGCCAAGTACCTTGCAAGTATGATCTCCTCGGCTCTGTCCTGCCCAGTGATACCTTTGCTCACTCGGTAATGGTCACCTGGCTAATAGTCACCTCTAACCAGCACTAAGCACAGGGCGAGTTGCACAGAGGGGAGAAGAGAACAGTCCAAAGCACTATGATCATTGACCATCAGTATTGGGGGTAGGGGTGGGAGGGGAGTACAGGAGTTTGGGGGGGCTGAATCCACACCTATTCCAGTCTCGAGGCGCCCACCTTATGTCATCTCTTGCACCACATGCACGTTTCCCTGTGGCGTGCTGTCCAGGGTCATCCCCAGTTCACACCCTGGGTTGTGCCACATCTCAGATGACCCTTCCCAGGCTCCCCAGTGAAATCCAGTCTCTCAAGCCTACTTTCAAACCCTCAAACTCTGCCCTCCCCACCCCGTCCCACCCCTGTACCCTCATATATCACAGTTACTAAGCAACAGAGAAGAGCAGGGGTGAAAATCCTCGCACTGCTGCACTCATTACATCAGCATCATCGCAGTCAGCCTGGTTCCACTTTGGCAATCAACCTGTGGGATCATTTCCCCAATGATTGCTGTTCACGCTCTGCATGACGATTTGAAATATCAATGCTGTGAACGGGGCTGATGAATAGAGATAATCAGTGTGTGGACACTCGCTTCCTGATGTTTGCCCTGAGCCGCCCCACAGCCCCTACACACACACACACACACACACACACACACACACACACACACACACACACTCACACACACTCACAAACACACACAGGCCATTGGAAACTGAGCAAGGCCTGAGATCCCGTTTCTCAGAACAGTCACCCCCTCTTCCCACTGAGTGTGGTTCCAGGGGAGAATGAGACCACGTACTGAGCTCCCTCCCTCAGGACTACACTCCTTCTATCAGTCTGTCACTCAAGCACGGGTTGAACATCTAAGGAGCCTGCCTGGCCGAGATGAGCCTCCAGGCTCTCCTGGGCTAATTCCCACCATTTGATCCAAATGCTGGCATCATAAAGGAGTTGGCCAGGTCTCTGCTGAGAGGCTTTTAAAGAGCGAGTAAAGGTTTACTGCAGCAAGAACTATAGTCAAGGGTGTGCATGTATGTGTGTGTGTGTGTGTGTGTGTGTGTGTGTGTGTGTGTTCTCTTAAAGAATGGAGAGAATGGTAGTAGGTGCATGAAAATAAATTAGTGGCCTGGTAGGTGATCTAAGACACAAAGGTAGTTTTAAAAATGTAAAACTCATGTGGACCTGGAGCAATAGCACAGCGGGTAGAGTGTTTGCCACGCATGCAGCCAACCTGGGTTCAATTCCCAGCATCCCATATGGTTCCTGAGCACCACCAGGAGTAATTCCTGAGTACAGAGTCAAGAGTAACCACTGTGCATCACCAGGTGTGGCCCCAGAAAAGAAAAAAAAATTGCTCATGTGTTTGGGAAATTCTGGCCAGTCCAGTGTTTAGTTGAGCGAGGAAGGCAGAGCAGGATGAGGAGAGGGAGATGGCAGGAGGCAAGTAGGGTGCTGATGACAAGACGAAGGAGTTTAAACTTTCCCTGTAAACCATGAGGGTTCCAGAGAAATCTGGAAGCAAGGGAGACCAGCAGAGTTTGTTTTTTGAACAGAGGTGTGGTTTAGGGGAAGAGGATGAACTTGAGAAGAGAAGCATTAGGAAGTAAAGGCTTTTGAGGTGATCAAAACTAAAGCCAGGTCCATGGTTCATTGATTCAGTGTCGCTGCTAACTGCAGGCTGTGTTTCTCCTAGTGACCGTGCTGGCCATCTTCCACGAGCTGCATGTGGACCCTGACCTCTATACCCTGCTGTTTGGAGAGAGTGTCCTGAACGATGCGGTTGCCATTGTCCTTACCTAGTAAGTACTAAACCTCGGCCGAGACTTCTCTGGATACAGAACTAGACCTCACCTTCGTGGTAATTCCAACTGCTTTCATGACATGGAAATAAAGGAAATTTCTAGTTTTTAAGGAATTTTTATCAGAGAACATCTTCAACAGTGGGTACAATTCATAAGCACCCAATTTCTAACATTTTTGATGAGTTTCCAGTTCCACTCTGTTATAAGATATTGTGCAAAAACTAGCAAACATCTCTCTCCCCCTTGACATCTAGATTTAGCAGATTCCCTTAGGCTTCCTTAAAAGTATATGAATATGTCTTATTCATTTCAAATGACGCCATTTAATTTGTTCCTCTGTAAGTAAAATTAGATAATAGGCAAATAGACACTGCTGTCTTGGTAGTAAGTTTTGAAGAGTGGTGATAGAACTTGAGAGTCAGCACTTCCTTTTTATTTCTCAATGCAAATGCAACGTTTTCTAACACACATGACCTCCACATCCACGTGACTGGTGCAAGCATGAAGCTGGGCTCGGAGCTAAGGCCATTTCCCCTTTCTCCTGGAAGAATTTCTTTCTGAGAAATGAGCCACACTCTTCCCTCACCTTCCTCTCACACTCTTCCCATTCATATTTAATAAATACCACTGCGGTAGCTTTCAGGATGTCAGAGGTCTCTTCTTGTTTGAGATGAAGAGTGACATCTTGGGCAACTGTCAAATATCCCAAAAGAAAATAGCATTCTGATCTGAGTGCCAACAGGTCCCATTCAGGCTGTTAATTACTGCAAATGCATTTGAAAAACTTATAGAGAAGTGGCAAAGTATTTCCAAAAGTCAGATCTTACAGAAGGGAGTGAATAGGACACTGCTCTTTTCCTGCCAGCTGACATTTCTTAAGACTGTCACCCCAAGTTGCCACCAAATCCAGCAACTTTCCACAGGAGCCTCCAAATAAACACGTTTCACCGTGTTTCAGGGATGTGCTTTTCCTCCAGGGGCTGAAAATGTCAGTGGGTGCAAGTTAAGGGCAGAATCAAGACAGATTCACAAATGCTAGGAGATGCTTTTAAAAAATATGCCAAGTACAATTAATTAGGGTACCAGGAATCTCCGTGCAAAGAAACACTAGTATTAAAGGAACATTTGAAGTGAAAAAAAAATTTAAATCTGCTGAGTCTTTCATTTTCACTTTCTGAGCTGCCAAGTTGTAAAAGGCCAAGCCAAGCAAAACCACTAAAGTGCAAATGAGCTTGGGAAAGGAGTCTGCGCCAGCCTAGGGGTGGGGGTGCTGGTCTTTCTGCTGCTGCTTCTCACAGCAGCTTTCTGCTGGAAATGCAGACTCCAAGAGTGGGGGGTGAGGGCACTGTGCATGGACCAGGGGGGTCCAGGGGAGGTCCATGGGAGGTCCAGGATGTCAGTTTAGTAGCTCCTTGGATTCATGTGGGTGTCTCACTCCCGCGCATGGCAGGTTATAAAATGCGGTGTTTCACACCGTGGTAAAATCTGTTTTTTATTAATTTTTATTAGTGAAACACCATGAGGTACAGTTGTAGACTTACAATTTTTTGTGCTTGGGTTTTAATTATACTATGTTTGAATACCCATCCCTCCACAAGTGCCCATTTTCCACCACCACTGATCCCAGTATCCCTCCCAACCCCTTTCCCCCCATCTCACCCTGCCACTGTGGCAGGGCATTCACTTTTGTTTTCTCTCTCCTTTTGGGTGCTGTGGTTTGCAAAAAAAGCATTGAGTGGAAATCATGTTCCCCTAGCAGGTGCGGTTGGCCTCCAAGCCATGGAGTGAACCTCCTGGTACTTATCTCAGCTATTCTTGGGTGTTAGTCTCCTATTTTGTTACTTTATCTTCCCCAGATGGATGCAATCTTTCTATGTCTGTCCCTCATTTTTTGACTCATTTTGCTTAGCATGATACTTTCCAAGTAGTACCACTTGTATGTAAATTTCATTACTTCATCTTTTCTAACAGCTACTAGTACTCCATTGTGTAGATGTACCAAAGTTTCTTTAACCAGTCATCTGTTCTTGGGCACTCAGGTTTTTTTCAGATTCTGGCTATTGTAAAGAGTGCTGCAATGAACAAAAAAGTACAGATGTCACTTTAACTATACTTTTTTTTGCCTCTGGGATATATTCCCAGGAGTAGTATTGCTGGGTCAAATGGGAGCTCAATTTCTAATTTTTTGAGAATCATTCATACTGTTTTCCAAAAGGGCTGAACCAGTTGGCATTCTCACCAGCAGTGGAGGAGGTTCCCTTTCTCGCCACATCCGCACCAACACCGGTTGCTTTTGTTCTTTTGGATGTGGGCCAGTCTCTGTGTTGTGAGATGATCTCTCTTTGTGGTTTTGATCTGCATCTCCCTGATGATTAATGATGTAGAGAATTTTCTCATGTATCTTTTTGCCATTCAGATTTCTTCTCTGAGAAAGTTTCTGTTCATTTCTTCACCCCATTTTTTGATGGGGTTGGATGTTTTCTTGTGGAGTTCAACCAGTACTTTGTATATCCTTGATATCAACCCCTTGTCGGATGTGTATTGGGCAAATATCCTTTCTCATTCTGTAGACTGTCTTTGTATTTTGGTCACTGTTTCTTTTGAGGTGCGGAAGCGTTTTAGTTTAGGATAGTCCCATTTGTCTATCTCTGTTTTCACTTGCTTGGCCAGTGGCGTGACATCTTTGAAGATACCATTAGCTTCAATGTCATGGAGGGTTTTGCCAACTTTGTCTTCAATGTACCTTATGGTTTCTGGTCTGATGTTGAGGTCTTTAATCCATTTTGATCTTACTTTTGTACACTGTGTTAGGCAGAGATCTGAGCCCATTTTTTTGCATGTAGCCATCCAATTTTGCCAGCACAATTTGTTAAAGAGGCTTTCTTTGCCCCACTTCACATTTCTTGCTCCCTTATCAAAGATTAGGTGATCATATATTTGGGGGGAGGTGTCAGTATGTTCAACCCTGTTCCATTGGTCTGCAGCTCTGCCTTTGTTCCAGTACCATGCTGTTTTAATTTTTACTGCTTCGTAGTAGAGTTTGAAGTTAGGGAGGTTGATTCCTTCCATTTTCTTTTCCCCAAGAATTACTTTAGCTATTTGTGGGGGCTTATTGTTCTATATGAATTTCAGGAGACTTTGCTCCATTTCTTTGAAGAATGTCATGGGTATTGTTATAGGGATCACATTGAATTTGTACAATGCTTTGGGAAGTATTGACATTTTGACAATGTTAATTCTCCCGACCCATGAGCAGGGGATTTCTTTCCATTTTCTTGTGTCCTCTTTTATTTTCTGAAGTAGCATTTTGTAGTTTTCTTTGTACAGGTCCTTTACTTCCTTAGTTAAGCTGATTTCTAGGTATTTGATTTTTGGGGCACAATTGTGAATGGGATTGTTTTTTTCAAGTCACTTTATTCTCTCTCATGATTTGCGTATAGGAAAGCCATGGACTTTTGGGTATTGACTTTATAGCCTGCAACTTTACTATACAAGTCTATTGTTTCTAGGAGTTTTTTGGTGGAGGTTATTGGGTTCTCTAAGTATAGTATCATATCATCTGCGAATAGTGAGTTTTATTTCTTCCTTTCCTACCTGAATGCCCTTAATATCTTTTTCTTGCCTAACTGCCATTGCAAGTACTTCCAGTACTATACTGAACAGCAGCAGAGAGAGTGGGCTCATCCTGATCTTACAGGGAAGGCTCTCAGTCTTTCCCCACTGAGGATGATGCTTGCTGTAGGCTTGTGGTAGATGGCTTTAACTATATTGAGGGAAGTCCCCTCTATACCCATTTTGGCAAGGGTTTTCATCATAAACGGGTGCTAAATCTTGTCAAATGCTTTCTATGCATCTACTGATGTGATCATATGGTTTTTATCTTTTCATTTGTTGATATGATGGATTATGTTGATTGATTTCCAAATGTTAAACCATCCTTGCATTCCCGGGATGAATCCCACTTGGTCATGGTGTATGATCTTTTTGATGAGTTGTTGGATGGTAAAATCTGTTTCTAAGGCCTAGGATTCTTGCCTATCAGGCTCATATCTCATCTTCCATGCTTGATCCTTTCTTAGGTTGTGTTGTGTGGTCCCCCAGAGTATTTTACCTAGGAGACTAGGGATCCGTAGTCAAAGTACATGACACAGAAGCACCCTCACTTCCACGCCTTCTGCCCAGTGCCTTTGGGTCCTACTAACCACCTTCCATAAGTTCTGGGGAATGGGAGCTATATAGGGCAATGTCCAACAAGGCATCTGGGCTCTGTCCCTTGGGGCCAGTGGCTGCTGCCATCCATCCCCACCTTCTACAATTTTTCCCAGGTTCAGCCCTAAACTTTCCTTCTCATCAGTTTGCTTCTTAAACTTCATTTTAAAAACACAGAACTCTCTCTCTCTCTCTCTCTCTCTGTATCTCCATTCACTTATAGACATATCTTTTATCCTCTTAATGTCTTATTCTCACAATTTCTAAAGATCACTGAAAATTTTTCCACTAAAATTGGGGGGAGCTCAACTTTGTTCACACTGAGTGAGTCAGTAATAGTAACCACTGCCTGTGAGCTGGGCTTCCCTTTGCCTGCTCCACAGAAACCCTGACTCACTCACAGGCTTAGGGAAGAGTGTGGCAGAGCACTTCGCACTGTAGAGGATATTTCAATCTAAGAAAAGTCGTCATTGTTCAGATTACCATCCTCCCCAAGCCACCTATACCTTCTTAGGACTTAGAACTAGCACCACTAGAATTAGGATGGCATCATAAAACTCTCTGGGTAGCCAAAAAAATGTGTTTTTTGTTTTGGAGCCTTACTCAGCAATGCTCAGGGGTTGCTCATGGCTTTACATGCAAGGATCACTCTTGGCAGTGCTCAGTGGACCAGATGGGGTGTTGGGGATTGAACCAGGGTTTGCCATGTGCAAGGCAAGTGCACTACTTACTATATTATTGCTCAGGCATCTAATCAAAGAAATTTTGAGCAAAAAAAGATAAGTAAA